AAAACTCACGAATTTTAGCATATATAAATTTGTGCAAGAATTCTAGTCAACTAGCTGTTCAATGTGCAATAATTAATAAAGAGTAGGTTTAGTAATTTACTGCAAAAATTTAAGAGTAAGTCTTGCAGTGAATTGTCTAACCGAATAATTTTTAATTGGCTATTTATACCAAATAAAATTTAGTGGAGGGTTCCACTTCCTTATTTATTGCATAATTGATCAATTTAAAAAGTAGGTCTAGTAATTCATGCAACTATTGGGTGTAAGAATCATTTTCCATTAACAAAACATCCATATTGTGCTTATAATTTAGCCAGAAAAGAAAAGAAAAGAAAAAAAACGTGATTAGAATGGCAAGAATAAATTATAGACATACATTTAGTGAGAAATAACCTGAGATCATAATGCTAGTTCTATGAGTTAGCCAACTAACTCAAGGGAAAAAAAAAAGAAAAAAAGAAAAAAAGAAAAAGAAAAAGATTCTTTCTCATAATTTAAACAAAGTCTCTGCAAAAGACTTTGTTTAATGCTAGTTCTATGAATGGGTATGTGATAGCTCTTTATAATTAGGTTTCATTTATATATTTCTTTAAAGGTTTCACTAGGGTTTAGTGTCATGTCGGCTGGTGGTTTTTGTGTCAAAAACCTTTAGAGTTGTAATTTTCTGTTTTTGTTTGAAACCTCCTGAATTTGTAGAAGATCGATTCATAATTACTCACTAAGGACATAGAAACGATTTTTTATGTTTTCATTGAAAATTAGGTTACAGAAAGCTAGTTAACTCAAGTCAATTCAACAAAACCTAAAACCTAAAACCATATAGTCAAATCATAATAATTATTACCTCCGTCCCAAATTATATGTCCTGTTTGGGGAACCGTGACTCACAACGGTTCTCCAAATAGGACATTTTTTTTTGGGGATAGAGGGAGTATATTTTTCTTTACTAACTAAATCCAGGCTAGTTTTAGTTTTTGCCTTCTCCTCAATTTACCCTTATGGTAAAGCATGTCACTCTTCAGAGTTGCTGCACTTAACATTTTTTTTTTTTTTTGACGGACACATTTTAGTCATCTCATCATTTTGTTTGTTTCTAAAATTTATCCTTTGTTGGATTTGTTTCTAATTGTAACTTTACTTAAATTGTTTAACGGCGCTGAATATTGAGTCTGGAAAGTTATATGTTCTAAAAAAATTCAAATTTGTTATGAAGCTGCAGAGGGTGTTCTCATACAAAACAATGGGTTGAACATCGTTAATTGATTTTAAGCACCAGTACTTCACATCATAAAAAGTTGAGCACTAGCAGTCCCTTTTTTCGGTACTCGGTAGGCCAGAGAGTTAAAAGAGTTTAGAGTACAGGTACTCATATCTAGCATCATATATCACTCTTGACAACAGACACAAAAGATAAGTTTTCTAATATCTGAAAAACTCCCTACAGTATTATAACACTTGGAAGTCTTTCCAAACAATTAAGAATCTAAATTACTCTGAATAAGAATAAGGTTTTACATGCATGTATAAACACTTCCATTAGGTCTTGTAAATAAAAAGAGATCAAAGATTTGAAAAAAATGATTGAGGCTCGGAGAGGATGCATAATGGGGGGCCCAAGCCCGAGATGCTTGGAGGGTGGCAACACAGGGCGGGCACCCCTGTTTTTAAGGTGGGGTTTGTGGAGGGAGAGAGATAGGAGATCCTTTGATATAGAGGGCACTCCCATTGGGGTGTTTAATTTCTCTATTATTAGGTCTTAATTTTTTGGGATTCTTGGGAGGGACTATAAATCTATAGGGGAGTTTGTGGATATGTTGGGAGTTTAGGGACTCTATTTGGCCGTTCTGTAGTTGTTTTTGGGATGCCCTCCCCGGTTACATACCCTGTGTGGGTTAACCAGGTAAAAACATAAAAAAATTTCCTTAATTTGTGCTTAAATTTTTACTTCCAAATTTGTTATATTTTGTGTGGTTGTGATTGCTAATTGTAAAAAGCAAAAATTGCGCATGCAAAAAAGGCAACATATATATTCAAAAACCCCTCCTATGTTGGTTTCACATGAAAATCCTAGTGGGTATTAATTCCACTCTCAACTCTCTTTGCATCACAGTACTATTACCAATATAAGAAAACAACTTCCATGCAAATTTTATACAGCTAATTAATGATATCTAAAATTATCAAGTTCTACACCATGAACTAGAAAATGCAAACATTAGCAACACAAAATTGTTCAATGAGATGAACTTTTCAATTAGAACTTGGTGTACCTTTGGTCACTCCAATGACTATAGGGCCCTAATTGATAAGATTACATCTAGAATTGCACACTGGACAAGCAATAATCTTTCTTTTGCAGGTAGGCTGCAGCTCATTAGGGCAGTCCTATTTTCAACTCGGATGTATTGGAGCTCTAAATTCATACTGCCAACGAGTATCATACATGAACTTGAAAGCATTTTTGGTGCATTTTTGTGGTCTGCTCCATTCTTAAAGAAGACAGGAGCAAAATTAAGTTACTTCGGATACATGTTGTCTTCCCAAGAGAGCATGGGGTTTAGGCCTCCCAACTTACGCACATGGAATGAAAGTGCCGTTATGAAGCATTTTTCGCATATTATTAGTTCAAAAGATATGCTTTGGGTTACATGGATACATACCTATCTTCTCAAAGGCAAAAGTATTTGGGATGTCAAGGTTCCTGGTCAATGCTCTTGGAGTTGGACGAGGTTGCTAGGCCTTAGGGATGCAATCTTTCCCCTTGTCAAGCTAGAGGTCAGGGCATTTATCACTTAACTTTGTTTAAGACTTGCTGTTCATCTTGATTACATCACTTAATTTTCATTTTCTTGAACGTGTTTAATAATACAATTTAAATATTTTAAAAAATTACAATATATGACAAGAAAAGGATACCATGTGCTACCATGATTTTCAATAAGGGAGTTGATGCTCTGAACATAATTATTATTAATATTATTGTTATTTTTGGTAAATAGCTTCTTTTTGCTTATGACTTAGTTTGGTTATATGGAAAAAAATAACAGTAAAGAAATATATATATATATATTTTTTTCCTTAGCAAGAAAAGGAAAATTTATGGGAAATTAATTAATTTTCCATAACCACTCAACTTTCTTACAAAATTTTCCCCAAAAAATATTTGCTTTCTTGATAAAACTATTTGACTCTAAAGAAGAAGCACGTGTGAAGTGGAAGAGCCATAAAAAATTCAAGAAGAAAGAAGATAGATGGTGCGTTTGTATAAAGAGAATGATATATGATTGGGTGAAGACATCAATCAAGCATTTGAAGACTTTTCACAAGCCATATACATCAATGAAAATGGCCAAAGTGATTGTTGCAGTTGAAGGAGGTGAAATTGAAGATCAACCAATGAACTTTTGTTCAAGTCCCCAAGATCAATAAGAAGTTTATTTGAAAGTTACAAAATCAAGTTTAAAGGGGGTGTTGGAAATTAAACTTGATTATGTGCTTTTTAGTGTTTTTGTGAATGTTACAAGTTCTTTAATATGACGTGTTAATTGTGTGTTAGTGGGAGTTTGTATTTGTGTTAGTGGAAGACATGAGAGTTAAGTTTACTAAATATTATGTTAGTAGGATTAGTGGGAGTAATTAGGCATTGAAATTTAATTGGTTACATATGTCTTAGAGCCTATATAAACTCATGTACTATACCTATTTTATGTGGAGAGAAAAGTTGAATAAGAATAAGTTGGGATTGATTGAAATAATATATTTCTTCCTCCATCTCTTTACCAAATTATAGTGAGTTGTATTTGTTTGTCTAGCCTACTTATTTTCAACAAAGTGATATCAGAGAAAAAACGAACATATTGCTCATAACATGATGTTAGATTGTTCATGGGAAAGAGGCGCAAAAGTAATCTTACCATGACTGATTGATTTAGACAGCCAGGAGCTCATTTGATCTTGAAAGACATTCATCCAGCTGACACTAATATGAATCATTATATTTAGTTTCTCAATCATCTCATTTCAAAACAATGCACCTGCTAGATTGAGCTGTACTACTTTCCTCTCAACGACCAATGATTTTTGTTTGATTTTTTCCTTTTAGTTTCGGTTTTTTTTTTTTTTTTGAGATGTTTCCATCTCAAGTGTAATGCCCAACAAATTAAATATTTGTGTAAGACAGAGAGCTGATTATGTGATGTCTTACACGGGGAGAAGTTGTTGGCACTTATAAGAGAATGTCTTCTACTTATGAAGATGCATTTAAAAAATCATGAACAAAGAGAATGTGCGAAGCGGATAGTATCTACATGGAACGGATCTTGACAGTTGGTATTAGAGCCAATCTTCAGCCAGAAATCAATTAGTGTACTCAATCTCGTGAGGGTTAGGCCAGCAAGGATGTTGGGTCCTAAGTCTTAAGAGGGAGTGATTGTGATGTTCCACGTAACTCTACTTTGGCCCAAAAAAAATAAAAAAGAAAATGCTATATAGTTGTGACTGCTAAGTAGTATACCACCCTTTGCGGTAAACTTGCTTTAGATTTTCATTTGCTTTGCAGGGCAACCACTTGACTCAATTTGCAGTTAAATTGCTATTGTGCAGACCATGTAAAATAAACTTTTACTCAAGAGGAGGATAAAAGAGTTTTTTTAAGGATAAAAGAAAAAATTTCTATGTTCAATACAAGATGAGACGGTTTATCGAGATTAATGAAAAGTCAAATGTATTTTAATTAATTGAGGGCTCATGAGTATACAAGATGAGCTAAGCTTAAAGAACTCCCAATAAAGGGCCTAATCCATCTAAGCCCAATTTAAATTTCCACATAGGTTTGGTGGAAGGTCTCGCAGCCCATTGGCATATTAGGCCCATTTAGCAAAGAGACCCATCAGACAATGGATGGCCGAGATTTCATACATCCGATTCCAGTTCATCTTCACCGTCCAAAACTAGGGCAACGATCCTCTCGCCTTTTAATCACTCCTTACTCCTAACCTCTCGAGCTATCTGCGCGGAAGCTAGGTTTTTGTTCATTCGTGAAGAACGAGTCGACCTTCACTTCGCGGTAAGGTGTGTCTCTAAATCAATGGATAGTCTTCGTTTGCGTGCCATTCAATTGGGTAACCTTCAAGTTTTCGCGTTCGGCTTATAATATGATCGACTGAAGTTTTCGCTGAAACGTTTCATTTTTTAAATTTGCACTAATTTCATCTGTTCTAACCTCCACTTTTCAAGTCATTTTATGTTGGATTTCCTTTTCCTCTGCTTTTTCAATAATGTGGAGACATCGATTTATTTCCATACATTTCACATATGAATGTGCTATTATTTGTGTGTGCATAACTGTGTATCTATACATGTTTTATTTATATACTCTGAACTTGTCCTCTCTCTCTCTGCAACTGCAAACTACAAGATCTACGAGTATCAGAACTCAGAAGTTCAAAACCCATATATTTCAGTTTATCCATCTGTCTGCAAGAATCAAAAGTTCAAAGCCTATTACCTATATATCGGCATATCATTTTAGATCCATATCTTTCGGTTTCCATCTCTCTGCAACTGCTAACTTGTATGTATGTTTTTTGTTTTAAATTTTTTTCTAAATCAACTAATCAAGGCCTGTAAAGACTGTAATCCTTGTTTTGCAAACTAAATCCAATTTGGTGAAATTTTTTATGATCTTTTTTATATAATTTTTTTTTTTTTACAATATAAAATAGCAAAATTTGCATTGCATTTTGAGGTAATCATTGCATTTCATTTTGAGGTAATTACCGTAATCTACATTTTATTTCAGTAAAGCAAATATATATTTTTTATTTCTGTAACTTCTATTTCTGATTTTTTTTTTTTTTTTTTGTCAATTATGTCTACAAGAAAATTTAAATCTGGGCATGAAAAAAAGAAAAAAAAAAAAAAAAATCTGCATTGGACTGAATTGGATTAGAAATCTGCAGAGATTGATTCCGAAACAATTTTTATCAACATGCCAAGCTTTTTGAAGACGGAAATATTTTCTTTTCAGAACTAAAAAAAATCATAACAAGAATTTTGACAAGCAAATGTATTTCATATAGGATAAAGCTCCAAAGTTACTTTTGGAAAATTAAAATACTTACAAAAAGCATGCTTTTGAGTGAATTCCATAAAGTTGGAAGGGGCTTGCCATGAACTACCTCACACTCTGCTTCCACTAGTACATTCTCAAATAGGATTAGTAAATTCTTCAAAAGAAGAAATAGGGTCTTGAGTGGTGAATTGTTAAGAAATAAATTGGTAATTTTTTTTATTAATTACCCAAATAGAATTTTCTATGCCTTAATAAGTCAATTTTCTAAAGAAACATTGTTAATTAACTAAAATTGAATTAAACAACAGTTGATTTTGGTTGATATATTTTGATTTAGTCCACAACATTGAGAAATCCTGGATGTTTTGTTTCACAAAGAAATACAATTTGTGTAATCCACGAAGGATATATTCAATCTTTTTGACATTTTTATTTTCAAATTGGTTTTTGATTTTCTTTTGTTATTAGAATGCAGAATATCAGGATATTGATTTGTTAATTTTGAAGATTATTCCTAAACTGATGCATTGTACTTTGTTATTGGATTAATTTAACATAAGAGCTTAGTATAATATGTGCTAATCACACCTATCCGCAATCACCCCTCTTTCTACGGATAGGTGCCCAACATTTTGGCTGAAAGCCTAATTGGATTGTGTTGATACATGATACAGATAGTACTTAGATGGTGGTGTTTTAATTGTTATGAGTGAGATTGTGAAACCTGTTCCTCACAACTTGAGTGTTTTCTTATTTTTAGGGTTAGCATCGGGCCTTAACATTTAGCAAGAACCAAGGTTCAACAAACATGCCTTCTCAGTCATCAGGTAACAAACTCTTACTTTTTCTAAAATTTTAATTGGCATTTTTAGCTATTGGTTACGTTTATTTATTCATGTTTTACATACTGATTTTTTGTTTTTGTTTTTGTTTTTGTTTCTACATACATATATATATAATATTGTTATGATGTGATGCTCGAACAATTTATTAATGGAAATTAAAGACTTGGAAGTTTAGTTTTTAATTTCAGAATATATGTTTTACAAGTTTGTTAACGCTTTTAAAACTTTTCCTCTTTTGTTCTAATAATATAGGTTTCTTTTATGAAAGAAGAGAGTTGATGGGAATGGGTGGAGTGGGCAAAAAACAAATAGGTATGTTTTTTTTGCCTAGCTAATTGAATTATATAAATCCCCTTACCATTTTAGCAGTGATGTTGATTTTAAAATGACCAATTATGATAGTAAGTCTCTTTTCAATTTATCTTAATCAAATGTATATATATATATGCAAGAGGATTATGTGATTCTAGATGAAGATTCTAGATGAGAATGTTAATGTTAACGTTATGAGGATGTTGATGTCAACGTTGACTCTAGCGATGACGATCGACGATGTTGATAATATGTTGATGCACTCAAATTAAGTCAAAACACTTAGAATTGAAGGAAATTTAGTGTTGAAGACATACTATTGAGCATAATGTCTAATTCTTTTAGTTACAAGAATCTTTGGTCACTTCACACATGATTTTTCAGTTACTAAAATTTTGAAACAATGGCGTGTAATATGATTCGTCTACTTGGGCTCTCTTTTTTTTCATCTCTCTGAACTCTAATTTTATCTGTGAAAAAAGAAAAAGAAGACTCTATGCAATTTTAATTTAACTTTATCAGTTTGAGCATTGACATAGCTTCTGAAATGTTGAAACTGGAACAACAAAGAAGACTGAGTCCACCAATAAGAATTACCAAACTTAATAAGTTCTCTGAGCATCTTGACTAATATTGGCATGGGAGACTTCTATAGATATGGACTTGTAGAGAGAGAGATATATGGTTGGGGGCACAAAGTGTACGACAACTGTGAACCAATGATAGGGTTGTGAGCTTTTGGCTTGTTTCATGCATCGGATCTAAGAAATTTACAACAATGAAATGGAAATCTCTGATGCCCTCAAAATTACAAACAGAGAAAATAATTAATATTATATATTTATAACTTACTTTACTAATCTAATATGATACCATGTATATCATACATATATATATGTTTGTAACTTTATACTTGGATATATTTTGATGTAGCCCACCCTATTGAGAAAATCCTGGATCCGCCCTTGGGCGGTGGCAATGGTGGGAGGAGGTAGCGTGGAGCGATTGGATATTTTAATTTTTGAGTTTTTTTTTTTTGATAAATAATGCTACAGTAGAGAAAGTACTTCTTGTAAACAGTGTAGAAAGTAAAGAAAGTAACAAATCCTCACTTTTTCTTTCCTTCATTAAATTTGAAAGTACTTTCTAAAAGGTGAATAATACATTTATATTAGTAAACATAATTTTCACTTTTACTTCACAATTTTAGGAATTAATAGTAAAAATCAAAAAGTAAAAAGTAAATTTATATTAGTAAACATAATTTTCACTTTTACTTCAAAATTTTAAGAATTGACAGTAAAAATCAAAAAGTAAAAAGGTCAGTAAACAGGCCCTAAGAGATTGGTAGACTCATAGAGGGAGATTATGTGTCTATAAATTTACAAAATATATAATTCATATCAATTTTGTCTGCTGATTAAATTGCATATCAATCTCCTTTGGCTAGATTACTTTATTTAGAGGGTTTAGAGTAAAAAAATCCCTCGTTATATACAACAAAATGTGCAAGAAATACCCTTGTTAGAGTTTGGAGCAAATTGCCCCTATTTGTTAATTTTGACCAATTTTTATAAAAAAAAAATCCCAAAATGCCGTCATTACTAATGTCAGCAAAAAAAATTATAATTAAATATGCCATAGGCCTCAATTTACTCTGTGTAATATATATAATATATATATATACATATCACCTTCAGCCCTCTCCCTAATTCTCCACCTACTGCCGCCACCTCCCCCACCTCTACAACCACCACCATGAACACTACCCAACCCTCCACCACCCAGCTCCACGCCACTGCCCATTGTTACTCCTTTGAGACATTTTTGTGGTGGGTTTACCCACGACCTCTGCTATCCTCTGTTACACCTTGTTGATTCCATAGATTATACAAATATAGCTCCGGGAAAGCATCTACAAAAATCACTGTATCCAATCAAAATTTATAATTAGCGTATCTCATTTTCCTTCCAAACACACTCTTTCCTAACACAAATTCATCCACCAATGGTTTCTTTCCTTCATATTCATCTATTCTGTTTTACTCATCTTCACATTCTTCTTCTTCTTCGCTCACATATTTTCAACCAGACATTTCAGCTCTCAAGTATCTTACCCAAGAAACATTCTATCGAGCTCATTGCCTCTCTGAAGCTCAAATTACTGACATTAGTTCAAATTTCTAATATGGGTTCAGTTGAATTTAGTTTAATTGCTTGTTACTAAGCTACTTTGCATCATCGATATATATTGACGGAAACTTATCTCCATTTTGCTATCATCAATACACCACCACCCACCTCGCTACCTCTACTGCTGCCATAGTCACACCGTCACCACCACCACCACCACTACCTCTCTCTAACACCTAAATACCCATCAAAATTAATCAATCAATTAACACAATTGCGAACCAAGAAGCTGCGATTGAGAAAAGAAATTGAGATATTGAGGTTAATTGTGGACATGGCGGAATCGGGGGTGGCCGTGAAGGATACGGTGGTGGTGAGAGATGAGATTGAATAGAAATCATGTTGGTCATGGGGGTTACAGTGATGGCCATGGCTGTAATTGTGAAATTGAGGTCCAGGAATGCTCTATAACAATGGTGTAGTACTCGATTATGGTGGTTGAGGCATCCAAAGGCGATGAAGCCACCAGATGGGGTTGCAATTGCAAACCAAGAAGTTGCGATTGCGAACGGAAAGAGAGAACCTAGGTCAACCAACGGGCTGCGATGGCGATTGAATATATAGTAGAAGGATGCATGGGATGATGTAGCAGGAGCAGTAAAGGAGATGTGGTGGTCGCTATTTTGACCCCGGCGGAGGCGGTGGTTGGTGTTTCTAATGGTGGCAGTACTAGTGAAGAAGACGGTGTGGTCGTTCTGTATAAAGAGAAGTAAAAGAGAAAATGGGGGAGAGAGATGTATACACTGTACACAGTTATATTTTATATACTTTATCTATTTTTTTTTATATTATTTTATTTTATTAGAAGGCTACATTAGTCCATTCATAGTTGAATTTACTCAAAAGTCCTTATTTGCACAAATTAAAAAAATGCAAGGGTGTTTATTGAATAATACATTTTGCATATAATAAGAGGGTTTTTTGCATTTAATCCTTATTTAGATAGTAGTCTAGTAGAAATTTCTCGCTTTCAAAAATAGACGGTCAATAATTTAAATCCTTATAAGAGAAATTCGGGAGTGGGAATTTATTTATAAAATAAATTTGCCAATGACAATGGAGCAACTAATTGCTTGTAAAACATAATTATTTTTAAACACAAAATGTCCATCTCCATAAGGTTGATGTATAAAATTAAGAGTCATTGTTGTCATTGCTGTCTCACATGGTGTCTTATCCTCCTCTATGGTTTGTTGATATCTTTTGCGGTGGTGTCTCTCACATGACTCTTTCACTTGTTGCTCTCTCTTTACCCTAATGCAACAAGGGTCATTTGTTTCATATTAGATCCGGATGTGAAAGTGATCGGGTAGAAATGGGTGGGTATGCAATACTACCTAATAGCTTGAGCTTTTGAGTAAATGGGTAAGCGTCCACCCATTACAGTTGGTATCAGAGCCAGACCCAATTCTTGATCCGATGTCACGCTAAGCGCCTGGCTTGAAAGGCGTCCAGGTGAGCACCCCGGGTAGGGGGTTGGTCCGAGCCGCAACGAGACAACTGGATCTAGACTTAGAGGTGGAGTGAATATGTTTTGTAGAACTAATTACCGGTTTTAACTAATTTTCAAATTAAATCTAATTGAACAGAAAGTATAACTCAAAATCATAACAAATAAATAGTGAAAGTATAATCAAATTGCAACAAAAATAAGCCCAGAAAACATAAAATGGAAAACTCTAAATGTAAAAAAATATAGGACTCGATCCAAGACAAACCAAATCCACTATAAGAGAAAATGATTTACAGCCTAAATTACAAGATTTTATCCCAATAATTTCCTAAATACCTCTTGACACAAAACGAGAAAAACTTTATTGTGCCATTGTACTGTGCAACAAGTGCATCCAACTATTCATTATCAGTGTGTGTAATACATGCGTTTGCATTTATATTGCATCAACGGTCCAGATGTGCTCATTGCACGGTACAATGGACGTAATGAAGTTTTTCGCGACACATAAGACTCTAAACTTTTCCTCGAAAGTCTCCGAACAATTTCTCAACTCGTTAACAACATTCATTCCTTATAAATCTACTTCTCTAGTAGTCTCAACTACTATTCGTTCATGCATCAATCGGATAGTGGATTGAAAAGTTGTGTTGAGCTCATAGTACTTATATTGGCAACCAAGTAATAGAGAGGAATTAGAATAGGTTGGGTTAATTAATCAACAGCACTACAATGGGTTTCAATTGAAACCTCAATGGATCAAAATCTTCTGTAAGTTTAAGGTGAATTGCATTAAACTCCTTTTTTTTTTATTTATGTTTTGCACCCTCAACTATTCGAGGGGTGATTTAACCAATGGAAGTTAGCTGAAAGGGAGCTGTTTAGATATTGAGTTTTCTTATATATTTTTGAGACAAAAATGCCCCTGTACCTATTTTAATATACCCCTCATGTATGTCACTCCATTATCACCTTAGCCACATATCCTCCTCCATTGCAGCAACACATACTCTTCCTGTTGCTCAACTTATTTTATTTATCCATCATATATATATATATATATATATATATATATATATCATACTTACCATTATAATATTATATATAATATGTGTCATAATATAATGGTATATATAACATGTACCATTAAATATTATTTATACTTTATTTGAATTTCCATTCAGCCTTCAGCCTATATAAATTTGGGCTTTTTCTTGAATTTTATCTGCTAATATATATATATATATATTTAGAATTATATTGTGCATTCATTTCTTTGGTTTATTTATTTATTTATTTTTTATATATTTTTTTAATTTTTAATTTTCATTTAATACAAATTTGTTCAAGGGATTCATCATCTAATACTATGAGAAATAATGCCTAATTTTTTAAAATTTATTATTATTTATGCCTACATGGTTTTTTTTTTTTTTTTTTTTTTTAATTTATATTTCAAAATAGTTTTTTTCTATAAAAAAATTATTCCTAAATTAGGAATTATTTCTAGAAATAATGCCTAATTTTTTTTGGAATTGTTTAATGAACATAATAATTTTTTTTTTTTTTTAAAAGTTAAATAAAAGTCTGCTTTAAAAACCTTAATTTCTATGGACGATGTCGTTTAGGTTATTTAATTAAAAGAAATTCAAGACGCATCCACAAAGTAGATTTTCAAATAGGCCTAATGGTTATTTAAGTCGATTTATATTTCAATTTCCATTTAGCTAATGTCCGTTTGTTAAGTCACTCCCTTGGATAGTTGAAGGGATTTTTTTGGTAAAAAAAATTGAAAAGAGGGGTTTAGTGCAAAACACAAATAAAAAAGGGTGTTTAATGTAGTTCACCCGTAAGTTTATACTTATAAAAAAAAAAAAAAAAATCCAATAAGGAAGTTTCCAAAGCTATTTTCATGAAAGTTTAAAAACAATTTAGGGAATCAAATTAAATTGAATTCATCAAAATATTGAAATCTAGATATGCATGTATGAATCTTTAATTTACTGAATTCATTAATGTGCCAATTTATACCCTTGTAAAGAAGATTATCGGAATAATCTTGAATGTAGCATGAATTCCATGATCCATCTTTAACTTTAGGAGGTAACTTATAGTAACCAACTTTCAAATATTTTTAATCGAAGCTAGAAATTGAGACAATTGTTACAGACTTGATTTTAATCTACAAAATTTGCCAACCAAATTTTCAAAACAATTTCAATTCTGTGCATCCAAAGACATACTATGGGTTCTTCATTGACTTAGATCACAAGTAAAATCCAATTGGAATTTAAAATATGTGAAAGCAAATATTTTTAATGATAATTTGCTAATTCATTCTGACTACTTAATTGCAGTTACTATAATTTTATACACACTATTAGTAGCTAAAAAACACAAGTGCTGAAGCCAAAAAATGATCAGATTCCCACACTAAAACAAAAAAAAAAAAAAAATGGGTATAATGACGGACACAAATGGGTTATATTTTTTATTTATTTATTTAATTTTTTATGGTGATGGAGTCCATTGGATGATGTCTCTGGAGTTGGGGTTAGGGAGAGGAAGGCTCGTAATGTCACAGTGAAGTGAAATAAGGTTTTTGATGTGTCTAGGCCAAACCTATTTGTTTTTTAAGATCGTACATACTTTGGCATGCCTGATGATATTCCAGCTTATTCTTAGCATTATATGGCCGTTTTTAATAAGCTGGAAATACAATGTTATCACTATAATTAGAGATATTATATAACTATTTGTATCTTGTTTAATAACTTAATAATAATCGTGTTCAAATTTTTTATTTTTGGTTAAAAATTCAATTAAAATTCATTATTTTGTTGAATTGTGGAATCTACTTAATTTTTTACTTCCAAAAATTAAATTTTTGAAAAATTAAACAATTGATAAAGGAAATTTGATTTTCTAATTATTTCTTTACGTTTCATTTCCATAATTTTCTTCTAACATCAAATTTTTTTTTTTGGTCCCAAGTTATATCTATTTTTATTTTCTCAAGATATATATACTATGATTATTTATTTTTGATAAAAGATGACATGAGAGAAGAGGGGAGGGGGGCATTTTGGGGAGAGTGAAAAAAGAGGAAATCAAAAGTTACTTTTATTTAATGATTTTTTTTTTTTTTTTTTTTCATCCCACAGGTCTATTGGGCCAAAATTTGAGGAGACGGAGGCGACGGAGCAGATAAGAGCAGAATACAAGAAAATCTATGAAGCAGTCCAGGCAAGGGTATTGCATTGCTGGACGATGTAATCCTTCAATATCAGAGCTCGGCGTTGTCTCATCGACTAAATTCTACGGTTTACTTGTCAAAGATGGACGATAACAACCTCATCAAGAAAATTTGCTTTGACAAGGCCGTCGGCGAAGCAAGCCATTTTTTTTATCCCCCATCTCTTTTCTCTTCCTTCTTTTATATAGCGGACTACTTTTTGTATCCAATAATTTTGATGAAACAATATTTATTTGTACGGAAGCATTAATTCTGCACTACACGTTTCCTGGTGAGGGATTCTACAACGTATGTATCACTGAAGAGGATCAATTCCACTAAAAAAGAGTTTATTAAACTGGTAGAAAGCTCAAAGGTGGCTAAGCTTGAAGGAGGCTTGGAAAGTAAATGGTGAGGGCTATGAGGAGGATGAGAAGGGATTAATTTCAAATTTTAATAGCAGAGATTGCAATCAGGGGCGTGACAACACTGAACAGAAGGAAGAGGGTCCGAAGAAATTTACATGGCAGTTGAAGAACTGCGTGTGAACAGGGATAATGTGGTTCTGTTTCAAATTTGATTTCATTTGTCACAAATTAAAGTATTTGAACACACTTTGAGAGGTTATTTGAAGCACTGCGAAGCATATAACAACATAGGGATTAACTTATTTTAGTTACAATGAGATTATTTAATTTTTTGGGTCATTATTATTATTTTTTTTCTTTCTTTTGACGTTTTAATTTTATTATTGTTTTGACATTGTTATTCATCGACTTGTTTTTTGCTCTATTTTTATTTATTTATTTAGATTGTATTTAATTGAACACTACAAGATTCATGCAATCTATTATTTATATCTCTCCAAATATGCCAAAGTCCGGCAGCAAATAGATCTAAAGTGTTTTAGATTTGTGATAAAATTTATTCATTCACAAGTAATGATATCGTACAGAATTCACCTCCTGAAATTTATACATATGCTAGCCTAATAACTCACCTAACCAAGTCAACAAACCATGGGAGAAAGGACTTTGTATTATCAATACTATGTTGACATAAAGAGCATGTAGATTGGAGCAGCCAAACACACCTTCTTTCTTTTCAAGTTACTCATTGAAAGCAATCTGTCCAAAAAAATCACAGGATTCCAACAAATCTAGACAAGACCTCCCAAATGAGGATTATAATTATTAATCCAACACCAATCATTCCTAATTTTCTTAGAAATAACCATAAAATTACTAGCTTTAACTATAGTTTCTAATAAACAGACAAACTGAGAGGCATTTCTGGCAATCCAGTTCCTTACCTCTTTCTGTCTCCTAGGCTTATTTAAGCCTCTCATATTCCATATTCCTATCATTAGGAAGAGGAGGAGGGTTGAGACAACTGCCTCACCTTGTTTCTAGTAATTTTAGTTGATGTCTCGATCCCTCCCTGTTTTGGTTTCTGATTAACCCTTTGCACTTGATCAGTGAATTCTGTCTTCTCTACCCTAGAGCTTCCTCTATGAGAAAACCTGCTAGCGAGAGGTCATACATGGTATGTTATGCTGAACAGGAAATCGAGTACACAAAAAAGGAGTTTATTAATCTCGAAGAAAACTAAAAGAAGGCTAAGTTTAAAGGAGGTTTGAATGGATATGAGGAGTATGAGATGGTATTAGTTTTAGATTCTAGTAGCATTTAGAATCTACACCGGCATGTGCATATCAAATGAAATATTAACGATATTTTGTTTTTGGTGGTTAGTCATTTTGATCTTATCGACTGAAATCTTCTTTTTATCTGTATATTGCATCAAAGTTGAATAATAGCAGCCTTTTAGAAAAAATATGTTTTCAGAACATCGTTGACTCGGTGAAACAAGCGGTTTTGTTTTCCCCAACCGTCTTTCTCTTCTCTCTTCTCTATGCCAGACTACTCTTTACATCTAGAGATTTTGATGAAACAATACATATTTGTATCGAAGCATTAAAGATTGAAACCTATTGATCCCGCAATAGACACATTTACTAGTGAGTGGTCATACAAGATATGTGATGTTGTATAGTAGATCGAATACACAAAAGGGAGTTTATTAAACTCGTAGAAAACTCAAAGAAGGCTAAGCTTAACGCAGGTTTGAAGGGCTGTGAGGAGGATGAGATGTGATTAGTTTCAGATTCTAAAAGCATTTAGAATATGTGCCTGCACGTGCACATCAAGAATGGCCTCGGGCATATCATGTTCGGCTTGTACACCACCCCATTGAATAGATACATAAATTTCTTAATCACACATTAATGATATTTTTTTTTTTTTGGTGGATAGTCATTTTGATCATGTCGACTTAAATCTTCTATTTGCATGTATATTGCATTTAAGTTAGATAATTGCAGCCTCTTATAAAATATATATTTTGAAAACGCCGTTGAGTCGGCGAAGCAAGCGAATTTGTTATCCCCAACTTTCTTTCTCTTCCCTCTTCTCTATGCCATACTACTTTTTGCATTTAGAGATTTTGATGAAACAATACATATTTGTACTCAAGTATTAAGGATTGAAAAACCCATTGATCCTGCAATATACACATGTGCTTGTGAGAGGTCATACAATGTATGTGACGCTGAACAGAAAATCGAGTACACATGCAAAAAAGGAGTTTATTAAACTCGTAGAAAACTTAAAGAAGGCTAAGTTTAAAGGAGGTTTGAAAGGTTATGAGGACGATAAGATGGGATTGGTTTCAGATTCTAGAAGCATTTAGAATCTGCACCGGCACGTGCACATCAAGCACGGCCTTGTGCACATCATGCACGGCTCGTGCACGACCCCATTAAATAGATACATATACCTCTTAATCACACATTAACGATGTTTTGTTTTTGGTGGATAGTTATTTTTATCTCGTCGATAGGGCTGTAAATGAGCTGAGCCAAGCCGAGTAATGGTGTGCTCAAGCTCGGATCGGTCAACATAATAGGCTGCTCAAGCTCGGCTCAAGTTCGAGTTTAGCCTAGAAAATTTAGTTCGAACTCGGCTCAAGCTCAACATAATAGGCTGCTCAAGCCGAGAGCTCGTTTGCTCGCTTAATTATTATTATTATTATTTTTTTTTGGGTACTTCGCATCTAAGATCGGGAACAAAAAATCTATTTTTCTAAGATCTAATTTTTGGTACAAAAAATCTATTATTCTAAGATCTGGAACAAAAAATCTATTGCTCTAAAATCTGTGTACTTCGCATCGAGCCAAGCAAAATCGCATCTAAGATCTGTTTTTGGTACTTCGCATCTAAGATCTGTTGTTCTAACAGATCTGGAACAAAAAAAAAAAAAAAATTCACATCTAAGATTGTTAGAACAACAAAAAATATAAAAAAGTTTGAGAGAGAATAGATTTGCAGTAATAAATCCCAAAATTTATACTAAAAATCAATTTGGATATATATATATATATACACACATGTACAAGTTTACATGAGAGACGAGATGGGTATTATTGGTGTCCCAATGGTGGGTATGTGTTTGATGGGTTTGTTGCTGCTGTGTTACCTTCAGGAAAAAAAAAAAAAAAAGTTTACATGAGAGAGAACAGATTGAGGCGAGAGAGGCGTGACTTATTCCATCAACCCTAAACCTAAAAAGCTTTATATATAAAGACAAGAAAGGCCTATTTGCATAATAACCATAAATTCTATATATAATTACAGTCTGACCCCAATTTTTGTATATATTATAATTGGTTATGTGTGCGTATATATATATATATATATATATATATATATATATATATTATAATCGAGTATGTTCGTGAACGTATTATCGAGCCCAGTTCGTGAACGGTTCATAAATAAACGTGTTGAGCCTACTGATGTTCAAGTTCAGCTCGTTTATAAATCGAGCCTCATGATTCGGCTCGAGCTCAGTTCACTTATTCACGAGCCGAGCTCAAGCCGAGTAATTAACGAGCCGAGCCCAAGTAGTTCGCGAACGGCTCGGCTCGTTTGCAGCCCTATTCGTCGACTTAAATCTTCTATTTGCTTGTATATTGTATCAAAATTGGATAATAGTAGCCTCTTAGAAAAAAAATATGTTTTGAAAACGCCATTGAGTCGGCAAAGCAAGCGGTTTTGTTATCCTTAACTTCCTTTCTTTTCCCTCTTCTCTATTCTAAACTACTCTTTGTATTTAGAGATTTTGATGAAACAATACATATTTGTACCTAAGTATTAAAGATTGAAAAACCCATTGGTCCCGCAATAAACACATTTGCTAGTGAGAGGTTATACAACGTATGTAACACTGAACAAATGATCGAATACACAAAAAATGAGTTTATTAAACTCGTAGAAAACTCAAAGAAGGCTAAGCTTAAAGGAGGTTTGAAGGGTTATGAGGAGAATGAGATGTGATTAGTTTTAAATTGTAAAAGCAGAGATAGTAGTGGACACGAGGAGGAGGGTCTGATGAAAAAATATTTATATGAAGACATTTATGTCGTTGAAGTACAAATGAAAGATAGTCAGTATATACCATTGAATGCCAATTAATTTTTTTAGTCACAGAAAGTAGAATAGATATTCAATATTCAATGCATCGTGCACATGGTTATAGCACACGCACCGTTACTGCACGGGCGCATTGAAAAGATACAAATGTCTTGTGATTCCCCCGGATTTCCGAATGTGGGTTGGCCAGGCCCTCGCCCGAATACCCGGGGATATCAAAAACAAATCAGCAATAAACGAACACAGAGTACAAAAGAATAAAGAAGAATAAATAAAATGCTGACAAGAAACTAAAATGATTATCTAATAATAAACCTTAGAAAATATTTTCATTAATTAATAAACTCTTCTGATACAACTGATCCTCCAAAATACAACTCGGGAATCCATACTGTGTGGACCCCTAGAAAATCCATACTAAACAAATGACAGCAATAACTGTCTAAATCAAGAAACCGAATCATAAAAGAACTCCTATGTAGCATCGAAAGAATGAAGTAAACTGATCCTCGCTCAGCACGAACAACCTCTACTCCTGACGAACATCTGAAAAATAATGGTGGGTCAGGCCCACAAACAAGTTCTACTCTACTACAGTCCAAGCAGAGATCCGATACACGTATACATCCTAGTCAATCCAACAGTAACTAGTAGTCCGTATATATATATACACACACTGAAGGAACCTCACTAGACTATAGGGTTATCTCAACCTGAATAGTAGGCAACATGCAAAACGTACATATAGTGGGCATGAGTACCTAGACCTAGCAGGGTACACAACTACACTATATCTAGCTACACATCCCTGGCGATATACGCACCCTAACCACTGATCCTGAGACTCAAACTCATATCATGGCACCATACTTATATATATAAAATCTAGTAACCATCCTATCCAGTATAAATTAATCCTCCATAAGTCATTCAACTTGTTCAGCTGACCTCACTTAAATATAAGTAGGACTTAACATTTTAATTAATCCATTCCCTTATATAATAAATTAATCCTCCATAAGTCATTCAACTTGTTCAGCTGACCTGACTTGAATATAAGTAGGACTTAACATTTTAGTTAATCCATTCCCTTATATAAAATAGGTAGGACTTAACTGATAAGTTAATCCGTCCCTAGAATGCCACCGTCCCATACCGGTGCATTAAACCACACAATCCAACAATTGATGTAACGATTAAGGAAATATATCAAACAATCCAGAAATAATTACGGTAATATGATATCAAGTTATCACAAAATAGGAATGACTTATTATTTATTTAAGCTTCCTATATCAT